CCCAATTATTAAAAATGGATTGAAAATTTCTACTCCACTCTAACTCTGGAGTTCAGAGAGGAAACAGTGTCAGTTGTCAGTGGTGAATACCAGAAAGGTATTTCTTTTCTTTCTTTGTTTTTGCATTTTCCTCAATGAGAGTTGGGTGAATTTAAATTAAATATTTTTATTTTCTTCTAGTTTTTCATAGGTACCTGTGAATTATATTGGTCTAAAGAATCATAGAGAGGAGGGATATGCCCTTCTCTATTGGTCTAAGGAGTATAGAGAGGAGGGACGTGCCCTTCTCAATTGGTCTAAAGAAGCATAAAGAGGAGGGACATGCCCTTCCCTATTAGTCTAAGGAGTATAGAAAGGAAGGACATGCCCTTCTCTATTGGTCTAAAGAAGCATAGAAAGGAGGGACATGCCCTTGTCTATTGGTCTAAAGAAACATAGAGAGGAGGGACATGCCCTTGTCTATTGGTCTAAGGAACATAGAGAGGAGGGACATGCCCTTCTCTATCTTGTAAGATACACCAAACTAATTTTTGGATAAAAAAATGGTAGATTTTTGTGGTGACTTTATCAGAGATGAATTATAATAACTGAGTGATAATTTATGATATTCAGCTTCTAGAAATATAATACTATTAGAATTACATAGAATTGCCTGCTATTAAAATGGAGTCATGCCGGGCGGTGGTGGCGCACGCCTTTAATCCCAGCACTCGGGAGGCAGAGCCAGGCGGATCTCTGTGAGTTCCAGGCCAGCCTGGGCTACAGAGCAAGTTCCAGGAAAGGCGCAAAGCTACACAGAGAAACCCTGTCTCGAAAAACCAAAAAAAAAAAAAAAAAAAAAAAAAAATGGAGTCATAAGTCAATAATGGAATTCTGATACTCAGTGACCTGGTATATATATATATATATATATATATATATATATATATATATATATATATATATGTGTGTGTGTGTGTGTGTGTGTGTACACATATTATACATATACACATATATATGTTTGTTTAAGATTCATTTTCTTATAAGCCCTTGTATTGCACCAAGAAATTAGCCAGAATTATAAAAATGTCATAATTATCAAATTTCTTAAGCTAGTGTGGTGGCTGTCTTGGTTAGATTTTCTATTGCTGTGATAAAACACCATGACAAAGCAACTTACAGAAGGAAGGGTTTATTTGGCTTTATGGTTCCAGAGGTAAAGAGTCTGTCATGGCGGGGAGGGGGCAGCCATGGCAGCTAAAATCGTAAACTGAGTGTTCATGTCTCAAATTACAAGCAGGAAGCAGAGTGAATGGGGAATGGCAGGAGGTTTTTAAACCCTAACATCCACTCACAGTGCCACACTCCCCACAACAAGGCCACGCCTCCTAAGCCTTTCCAAACAGTGCCACCAACCAGAGCCAAGTAGGCAAACATCTGAGCCTATGGGGACACTGTCTTTCAGACCACTGCAGTGGCCAAGGCTTATGATCTCAGGACTTGGAGGTGTAGGCAGCCGACCAGGACTGTGACTGCCTTAAAAAATAATTTGTTAAAAAGAGGTGGAGAAAATGTATTCTTAAAAACATAATTTACCATTGTTTGATAATTAAGGGTTTTCTTGTTGCTGCTGTGTAGTTGAAAGTTTTTTTTGGGGGGGTACATCAAGCCCCCACTGTACCGTGGTCCACTTATAAAATAACCATTCAGAGGCTTACATTAATTATAACTGCTCGGCCATTAGCTCAGGCTTTTACTGACTAGCTCTTACACTTAAATTAACCCATAACTCTTATTTATGTTTAGCCAAGTGACTTGGTACCTTTTTTTCAGTTTATGCTTTGTCATCTTGCTTCCTCTGTGTCTGGCTGGCGACTCCTGACTCAGCCTTCCTCTTCCCCAAAAAATAAGCAGATAAGTGTCTGCTTATCCTGCCTATACTTCCTGCCTGGCTACTGGCCAATCAGCATTTTATTTATCAACCAATTAGAGCAACATACATTCACAGCATACAGAATGACATTCAGCAGCACTGCTGTTTTTTTTTTTTTTTTTGAGACTTACTGTATATTCCAGGATAGCCTTGAACTTGGACCGACCCTACCAGCCTGAGAAGTGTGGGTGTTGCCAAGGAAATTGGGGTTCCCTTTCAGGTTCTTAGTCTTATTTGTTAATTATGGAATTTCAATTCTTAAGGAAGCTCAAGAAGAAATTAAAGTTTGAGAGCAAAAACTAGAAGCCAGCCAAGCTGTAAATCTTGGCAGCAGGCAGGAAGAGAGCTGGGAAAGAGCAAGGATGTCATGGTTTTTGAGTCAGGGTTTAAGCAGAGCCACATGTTCAGCAATGGCGGTCAGCAGGTAGCAGCATGGCGGAAGGGTAGGGACTTCAGGAAAGACTGAGAAAGCACAGAGTGGTGAAGAAAGCATGCTGAGGCTTTTGGTCAGCATCTGAAAAAAGAGGTAGAGAAATGAGAAGGAAAACTTACACTTTTCCAGTCAAGACTCAGGAAAACAGACAGACTCTGCAATGCTGTGTGACAGAAGCTCTGAAAACAGCCACCTTGGGAGAGGGGCCTCTGGGAAGGAACATTATCTTGTTAAGGGGATGATTATTCCTCCAATCTCTATCATGCCTAGTACAGCTTCAGGTAAATCAGCAGATTGACAGGCCCAAATGGATTAACTTTTCAAAGGAAGTGGCAATACTATGTAGCATTCTAATTTTTGCAGCAGATTAGAAAGTCAGGTCTCCATGCAGGTACAATTCAGATTCTATTCTTCTGACCAGGAAGAAGTACCTTTTCCTTAATGGGTTTCAATAAGGCCTATATATCTCCAGTTTTTAATGTTGCCTTAAGAAAGTGCCGCTGTGCCAGGCAGTGGTGGTGCACGCCTTTAATCCCAGCACCTGGGAGGCAGAGCCAGGTGGATCTCTGTGAGTTCCAGGCCAGCCTGGACTACAGAGTGGTTCCAGGAAAGGTGCAAAGCTACACAGAGAAACCCTGTCTCGAAAAACAGGGAAAAAAAAAAAAAAGTGCCACTGTGATGTTTAACTTTCTGATGGTTCCAAAGCTGACCATGAGGGAAAGGCACATCCTTGGTGGCTTCTAAGCTACCAGTCCCTGTGACACTGGGATTATTGGCATGAGCTTTCACTTTGGGCTTCCTTAGGATTCTCATAAGTGAGAATTTTGTATAAGCACATTCTTTAATAAAAGATTAGTCGGTTCCAGTTACACCAAACTGTGACCCAGAGCTACCCATGTTTGAGTAACATTCTCATTTGCTTAGTCATTGACTTTCAATTATCTATAAACATTTACATACACATGATATATAGTTTTTATATATGATCAAATGTACTCATTTTAAAGAAAATACTTTGAAATTTGACAAACGTCTCCAGGCATATAACCACCACAACAAACAAAACATAATGTTTCCTCGTGACCTCACAACAAGCCTCTCTTACTCAGAGTCATCTTTTCTTCTCCCTCCGTCACAGGTCGTCACTGGTCCTTTCTCATTACTGTGAGTTGATACTTCCCAACCTCAGCTCAGCTCTAACGCCGTTTGGAAAGTTGGGTTGTGCGGGGAGGCAGAGTGTTGCCCTTTGCCATGTAGGGATTTTAGCAGCATCTCTGGGCCTCTGCCCATCAGATGCCAGTGGACCTCTCCTTTTACTCCTCGGTTGTGACAACTGAAATGTCTATTGCCAGAATGCGCCCTTGGGAGCAAAACAGCATCCACCCGAGAACCACTGCTTACTATAAGATCACTCCTCCAGTGCTAGAAATAGAAAAGTGAATGGCACGTCCTCTGGTCCTCTGGCCTGCTTTCCTTTGTTCATTATAATGATGCAAGGTTTATAAAGACTGTTATACAAATGCTGTTTGCTTTCCTTTTACTGAGTGGGAGGTCAGTATTTAATAATAAACCACACTCAGTTTAACCATTTCCTTTTTATGTGTCTCTACATCTCTAATTGTGTTTAACATTTATCCTTTTGAAAATCTTTTTTCATTAATTGATTCGTTTACTAGCTACAAGTCTTACAAGTCACGGTGTTCTTTTTCACAGTCTTTGGATGTTGAACACATCTTTAATGTTATGATGACTCCAGGTTTGTTTTTAATTTTTTAAATGATAGTGGGTTCTTTAATGTTGTGATGACCCCAGGTTTGTTTTTAATTTTTTAAATGATAGCAGCTACTTTTTGGCAGGGAGTTACTTATGTATCATCTTGATTTTCTAAGGCTATCATTTTTGTTTGGAGCTAGACATGGTGGCACATATCTATAATCGTAGTACGTTGGAGTCTGAGGCAGGAACATGCTGAGCACAAAGCCTGTGTCACAGTGGGATCATAAAAAGCTTTCCTTGTTACTTAAATATCCTTATCCATTATTAGTTATGCGTATAAATAGGATTCTAGCGGTGATAACTGTGGGATGATGGATGATATGTATTTTAAGACTAATTGCGACTGTAATTTAGATTATGAACCTTCTACACCTCAGCCAGACTGTTCTCTCTGTGTGTACACATGTTCAGGAATGCAGTAGCTTGTCCTTAACCTGTAGCTTCACCTTCCATAGTCAGTTACCCAGTACCAACCAAAGTCTGAAAATATTAAGTAGGAAATCCCAAAACTAAATAATAATCTGTAAATCACATGTTGTTGTAGGTAGTCTGATGAGGTCCTCTGCTGCCAGCCCACTTTTTCCTGTCCTGCGTGTGAAACATCCCCTGTCTGACTGTGTGCTGTGCATGAGACTTGTTCGTTAGTCAGTTAGTGGCCATTCTGATAATTGTCAATTGTGTCATACTAGTACTGGTGTTCAATTAACCCTTAATTTACTTAAAGGCTCCAATATGCAGAGTGGAATGCTGCCACTTTATTACAAGAAATTATCCATGGTATATTTTGTTATTAGTGTTATTGTTAACGCCGTTAGCTTCAGCACAGACGTTTAACTCTGTCTAGCTTGTAATGTTCTACCATGTTATTTTTCTTACTAGACAGTGATATCGGAAAGCTGTTATCATGCTTCAAAATGTCTGATAAACAAACGGAGTGGATAGAAAACTGCCGAAGACAGTTTTGTAAAACAATGAAGTCCAAGCCTGATGCAGTCAGTGGAGGTGGTGAGTGTGATGTTTTCTACTGGGATATTCCTGCATTAAATTATTCTAACAGAAGCTGTGACTTCTGAAGATTACTATCTGTGTGTGTAGGTAACACGATGCTAATTGGAAAAGTACATTGCCCACCCCGCCCCCAAAGGGCTTGTAATTCTGAGAGAACCAAAGGCCAAAGAACTCTGAAGCCTTTTTACGGACTGGAGTGTCTGTACATGTGGCAAGCAGCTCTGAGGTTCCCCTGCCTTTCCTGGGGTTACAGTTTACCTGGCTTCAATGGTCTCCACTTTCATATACTATGTTGCTGTGTCGTTGTAGAAGTCTTACCAGTTTACAAGTGACATAAATATCTTGAATCATCACCAGGTATCCACCAAACCAATTGAATGATTCCTAAGGAAGCTTTGTCTTAAGGGAGCATCTCCAGTATAAACTGACCAAGCAAGTTTAACATAAATTAATTGCATGTGCTTTTGTTTCCTGAAACAATAACTTTGATCTGATGATGTTATAAGCTAAATTTCCTAAAAGTTTTCATTTAGAAATGATTTCATAAAAAAAAGAAGTGATTTCATTTCATCAGCCATACTTAGAAGTTTTCATATTTGTTATAAAATTAAAATCAGGAATTTAAAAATTAAATTTACACTTTGCTAGAAAATGGTATTTTTAGAGAATAATAAAATATTTGTGTGACAACAAAATCACAAATTGTTCTCCACAGTGTAAGTATAAATGAGCAGTTAAACTATGGTTAGTCTCAGGATGTATAAAGTATCACTGGTCAGTGGTGGTACATACCATTAATTCCAGCATTCAAGAGGCAGAGGCAGGTGGATCTCTGTGAATTCAAGGCCACCTTGGTCTACAGATCAAATTCCAGGACAGCCAGGGTTACACAGAGGAATCCTGTCTCAAAAAAAAAAAAAAAAAAAAAAAAATCAAGTATCTATTGAGATATATGTATTTATAAAATTTCTCTATTTCTCTCTATATATATACACACATACATATAGTCTTAGGGTTTCTTTTACTGTGAAGAGATATCATGACCATGGCTACTCTTATAAAAGCAAGCATTTAATTGTGGCTTGCTTACAGGTTCAGAGGTTTAGTTCATTGTCAAAATGGCGAGAAGTATGGTGGCTTACAGGCAGACATGGATCTGGAGAAGGAACTGAAAGGTTCTACATCTGGATCCACACCACAGGTGACAGAAAGAGAGAGTTAGCCATTAGGCTTGGCTTGAGCTTCTGAAACCTCAAAGCCCACCCCCAGTGACACACTCGTATATGTGTGGTACCTGGAATGAAAATGTGCAAATGTGTATGTGTACACACACACACACACACACACACACACACACACACACACACACACACACATGAATGAATGGTTTGAATGAATATATATGTGTATATATAATTTGCTCTTGATTGTACAATAGATAATATTTAAAATAGGCTTTCTCAGTGGGTTTTGTACATGCCCCCAAAATACATACCAAATTAGGAGAGGAGTGGCTTGGAATGAATTTCAATACATGCCCCAATGCAGTTTTAAGAGTGTCTGTCTCTCAGGGAAATGAGAAATGTCACCTATCTAGCCATCATCTTTTGAGATGGGACCAATAAACCAAACAGATAAGAGTTCTCTTTGGCATCTAGGGCACTGTCTACATCTTCTTCCTCAGTCATCCATTGCTTGTTGTTGCTGTGTTCACCAGGTTACTGGGAGCTTCTTCCGATCGTAGATCCATTCTCCTCTGCTTGATGCTTAGTTGCTTACACAAGACTCATTTTATACTCCACAGAATCTTTATTATGTAGTCTATATTTTATCAATGATGAAACTGAAATGCGTCATTTTGGAAACAGCCTAGTTTTCAGCAGAAGAGCCTAGAGGAGAATCCAGGTAACCTGTTGTCAAAATCCTGGTGTCACTTTACCATAATAAAGGTGACATATCACCTTTTCATACCTAACATTTTTCTTATCAGAGACAATATTTATCAGCTAGACATAGACAAGCAAAACGTTGCCTGAATACTGAGTTATGTTGCTTGTAGGATCTTATGTCAACCGTCAACAGGCTCAGCTTGAGTCCTGAACCCTACTTTTGGTAGGGAGGAAATGAAAACAGATACACACAGACATGCCTGGTGTGGTTCTGCTCTCTCCACAACCAGGAACCTCAGTGTGTTTATCAGGACACCACAGGAGGAGGGGTTAGCTATTCTGGGTAGGAAGTCTCTGCAGGGGAACCCAGTCAAGTGTAAACACCCAGGAAGAGAATGCTGCAGCTGCCACTCTCTTCACAGGCTGGTCCCTTGTATCTAACACCCACACTGGGACCCCTAAAGGAAGTCTTGCCACCCATATGATAACAGCTTTGCCAGTTTCCCATGGGTCAGAGGCCTTGGAGTCCTCAACATGGCTGTACCTGTGTCAGCAATACGTATTCTCTCAGGACTTCCCTCACAAAGGTTTTCCTCCACTCCCTAGGAGATTTGAAGCTTTATAAATTACCCTTTGTACATTAGCCTATTCTGAGTTTTTCTTTAAGATACTTATATAATGCTTCATAATACACAATTGTCTACCCATGTGTTAACATGTTCATAATTATGAGAGAATGAATTAGTTTTAAATTTCTATATGAATAAAAATGTCCAAATAAAAAAAGGGAAAGACAAAAGGAAATGTAATTAGCAATTTGAGTACCTGCTTGTTGACTGAATTATTCCCCACAATGGGCAGATGCTGCCTTTTTTGGTAATGGTGAAGGAGTGGAGAAGAATCCATTAATAAAGAGTATTCAGAAATTTAATTAAACCTGATCATCTTCACAATGATTAAAGTTGAAAATTTCCCAGTTTTTTAGATGTGGGGTCCTTGTACTTGTGGGTTTCCTTCCAGACATTAAGCTTATGAGAAGATCAAGGAAGCCTATGGGGATGGACAACTGCGTGCTTCTGCACTTACAGCCCCTGGCTGAAGTGATGGTTCACATGACCCAGAATCTCTCCTGACCCCACAGAAATGTCAATGTTTGAAAAATAAAGGGAGCTCAGAGTCTTCCCATCCTCAGCCTTACTTTTGGTTTGAATCTCCTTTCCACCCACATTACAACAATTTTCCAGACAGTTTGTTTGTTTTTAACAACTTAAGGTAGCAGTAACTACTTGTACTCTCCTCCGTTGGCATTACCATTCCAGCGCCAGAAGAAAACACAGGGGGTACTCTACTTCACTGGTTGAATTTCAAATGTGGCGCTGGGTACTATACTTTTATTCATTAAGATACAAATCGTTCCAGAATCCCTGCCCCCTCCCCCCCTTTTTTTCCCTATTTCATTGTCAGGAAAGTCTCATTAAATCAACTGACTCATGGTGTTCTTCTGGTTTGCTACCTAACTTCTTAGTGTCTGTCCATGGTGAGCAATCCAGTTCCACATCAACCCCAGAGGTGGTACACCTAACCTTTTGCATCTGAAATTCTAGAGTCAGCTCTGCTTTAAAGCACCATTTTCCTCATTATTTTCTAATCAATATCTCCCATTAATCTTTTGTTAGTGATCTAATAGTTATACAATTTAATATCTGCCCTACATATGTTTTTTCTATTTTTCATTGACAATGATTGATGACTAGTTCATAACTCAAATTCCTGTGTGTGCTTACTACACTTTGAGGTGGTGGCTGCAAAAAAACACATACAATGTATTTAATAGTCAATATTAGAAACTTTGGTTGTGCATAGTAACCACATATATATATTCATATTATATATTTATATGTAAATATATACACACATATATATTTAAATCTCAAATTCTTGAATTTTCATGACTTAGATCCTAAGAACTTGTTATGTAAGATACTACCTTAACTAAAGTACTTCTTATTTAGCAACTGGATCAGTATTATTTAATACATAATTTTGGACAGGATATTGCTATGTAACGTAGACTAACCCCAAACTCTAAAATGTTGTTCCTGAGCTTTGAAAGTTCTGGGATTATAGCTATACTGGCTTTCTGATTATTTCAAATAAACAAAATAAAGGCACAAAATTCTTTTATACTTTTATTATTCAATCATTATTTCTATATTTTAAAAAATTATATTGCATTCCTGTAAGTTTGTGTATGCATGTATGTGTGCATGCGTGTGTGCACACGAGAGGGTGGGAAGAGTAGGATATGCGGGTAACATAACAAGGCCTGCAAGTGCCTTTTCTGATGAGATTTCATGGCTGCAAGAGTGTCTCAGTGGTAGAGCACTTGCTTACCATGTAGAGTACGCTGTGCTTAATTCTCAGCCTTTCCCTAAAAACAATTTTCAAGAAGGTAACAATGAAAGAAGAAAAACGTACAGCAGACTAATTTATCTGAATACAGAAATAGCAGTAGCCTTTAAAGGACCTACATAGTAAAACTGTGAAAAGGGGTTCTTCTAAAGTGAGCCACAATTTTGGAAGATGGGTCAGATTGTTGTTGTTGTTGTTGTTGTTGTTTTCCATTTCTGCCCTGGGATGTGCAGGTAAGGACCTGTGGCATTCCACATACAGCAAACAAAATGACTCTAGAAATCAGAGGGCAAGCTGTGTGCTTAGGATCAGAGGAAGTCAATTTTCTGTGTTTTCTTTTGACTCTTGGATTTTAGCCTGGTTGATTGAGAATGGTAACAAATGCAGGAAAATGTAGTGGCACAGTAAAGCCTGCTTCCTCTGCAGGAACCAGGGAAAGAAAGTTAATGTCATGTCCCATGGAAACAGAATCGGGAGTGGTTCTGAGCCAGGCTCAATATTTATGTCCTGAAAGATCATCTGGGACAACAAAGTATTTGAAAAAAAAAAATTGTTAAACCTGAGAATAATGAGGAGAAAAGACCAAATGCATTATTGTAAAATGAAAGCAAACTGTGTTTGGGGGTGCACCCAGGACTGACCAGCTGGCTGTCTCACCCTAAATCAGGATTTGAGAGAACAGCCCCTGCTGGCCTC